ATGATTTGTTATCTGTATCTCAAAATTATTTACTTGAATTACGATTATTTTGAATAAAGTTTTTCTTTTAGATAGCAGTAGTCTTTAAAAACTTGATGCAGAGACTTGGCTTTGAAAAGTTTTATGTTCAAGGAGGAGATTGGGGATCTGTTGTTGTTTCTAATATAGCTATCCTTTTCCCAGAAAAGTTAGTAAAACTGTATAGAGAATATGACGAAAATGTGGATTTCTATTTATCTTATTTTTAGGGTGATTGGTATGCACAACAACATGTGCACTTCGCTTGGACCACGCGATTTGTTTTGGTACATAGTTGGTTCTTATTTACCGTGGCTAGTAATTGAGAATGAGCAAGACAAAGAATTTTATCCCGTTAGTAAATTTCTAGGATTTCTAGTTCAGGAAAGTGGATATTTTCATATACAAGCTACAAAGCCAGACACAGTGGGTAAGGCTTCCTGTTGTAAATTACCAAAATAAAGTAGTACGTGTTACATGGTACCAGAAATGACTTGCAACAAAATATAAAACTTGTGTATCAGGAGTTGGACTCTCAAGTTCGCCAGATGGTCTAGCAGCATACATTTTAGAAAAATTCAGCACAGGAACAAATTCAGCATATAGAGAACGAGATGACGGTGGTCTACTAGAAAAATTTACATTAGACGAACTCCTAGACAACATAATGGTGTATTGGGTAACCAATAGCATGACCACAAGCATGCGTCTCTATGCTGAAAATTTCTCTTCGTCTTACAGAGCTTTAAAAATTGATCGGTAGGTTTATAGTCATGTACTAAACATTTCAGATGTATTGTACATTAACAAATAGTATCCTAATTATTATACTTTGTTTCAGAATGCCTATAAGGGTACCTACAGCTTGTGCAGTTTTTCCTCACGAATTACTATCTGTACCCAAATTTCTACTTAAACAAAGATATCCTAATGTGATTCAGTATAACTATTCACCACGCGGAGGACACTTTGCAGCTCTCGAAGAGCCTCGACTTTTAGCCGATGATGTGTTCAATTTTGTAAAAAAGACAGAAGAAATGAATAATGATAACAAAGTAAATAAGTAAATTAATAGAAGATCTGGCATAATTGTTAATATATTTTTTTGTAAAAATAGTGTTATGTTTCATAATAAATATGAAAGAATATTTAGATCATTTATAACATGATTAATTTCCGCCAACATTTTCTGACATTTCCTACTTCTGGTACGCGATTCGTTGTTACGTTAAGGTATTTAAAATAATTGTATAGTACTTAAAGGAAATATTTTTAGTGAAATCTCTCTTTACGAATTCCTATTTTATGAAATTGGAACGAATTAATTCTTAAAGGCGGGAATTACTTGCATATACCATAGTTACACTGATAGTCATAAAACAGTTTTGCGAATAACCACTAGATGGTGTTCGATGTCAAATTCCCTCACTTTTTGCATTACCTGAATTGCTCTCGACTCCCGACCAACTATACTATATACGTATATATGATTTTCTTGCTGTTCTTCTACAAACTCTGATAAGATTTCTGCACATTTGCGAGGCGCCTGTTGGAGAGTTAACATACCCAGTCAGTCGATACTTGGTGCAACATGTTAAAACTTGCAGGAGTTCTTGCATTATTTACCATTGGAATATCCGTATATTTGAGGTGAGCTCTGTAATAATTAATTGTAAATCGAAAATGACTGATTTTAAAAACACGTGCACGATTGACGAGAACATATGCAAATAAAGATTATCTTCTAGTTACTCGACTAAATCAATTTTCAATAGTGGAATGCTTCAAGTGCTGTTTTTCTCACGAGTTTTTGCAGATCGTTTAATGATTTTGTGATGCAAAATCAACAATTTTTTGATGCACGAAGTTCATGAGTTTCGATTATACCTCATTTGTAAATGTTATTCTTCTACAAATTTACTTATGAAAGTAAGATTAAGAAATATATAATAGAGTATCGCAAAGCATGTTTGTCATAAACATTTCACGCTAGAATTTCAGTTTGTACAATTCCAATACTTGTCAAAATGCAGAACTTTTAAACTTTATTTGTTCTCAATACGTAACGTGCATTGTAATGTCTGTTCTTTATCGTAATTTGTACCACTTTGTTCGTATCGATAATTAAACGAACTTGAAAAAATAAATATTGGTTGCTCTTAATACGTGTATAAATTAGAACAAACAAAACAAACTCGCTGTCCCGCGGCGAGCTATTAAAAATAAATCAAACAACGTGGATTCACCATACGATTCTTCTATCACGATGGAAATATGTAATTATGATATGATCAAGGGAAGTATCAATCATCTTCGCAAGAGAACGATACAAAGGATCATAATGTAATTAGGGATTCGAGACCTAAATAAGCTATGAAAATATATACATAGAGAAGTGAATTACGTTTCGAGTGTCATCCTACGTCAACAATCAAACGCAATACGAATAGTACGAGTTTAGAGAGAGTTACCAATGGTTATATATTATCGATCGAAATTACAGAAAAGTTCTTGGGATATATATGTAGTGGTATAATAGTTGAAGAAATCCTTGTGTCAGCGAATGCCTACAATCATCGTTATCGACTAATACCAACGAAAATTGAAAACTTACTCTTATTCATTAATCGTTACGACCGCTTTAATGCACACTTCGATTTACATGTAAATTTAGTTTGTCAGAATATCATTCAAATTGTTGACCCGTTCCCCCAAGCTCGGGTATCTCGGGTCCCGAGGTTCCGAGGGTCGGAATTGCTGAACACGTACCATAGTACAATCAAATCACTGAACTATACTAATGCCACTATATTAGTATAGTTCAATGAATGAAACATAACTACAGCCCTGTACAGCACTTGATGGCCGTCTCGCTTCTGTAAGCGATATAAACAATTCAAAGCCGACTGTACTTGAAACAAAGGACGCATCGTATCAGAACGATTCAACAAGAAATAAAGATAAATAAACACTACGCAATTATCATATCTGAGAGTGTAGTTTTCCATACAAACGAATCAAAAATTAATAAAATGGTTATCGTGATTTCTAATTTGAATGGAATTAAAGTAAACTTCTAAAAAAACGAAACTACCGATTAACTATATACTTTCGTGAGGGCAAATCTATTTATCGTTATAATTACGTACTATGATATAGCTAGATTTTGTCTTAAGTATCCAGATTTTTGCAAATAGAAAGTAATACATTCGATGTTACAACAACCAACTTTTTAAAAGGATTTCATGGTTGCTTGTATTATGACAAAGCACTTTTGTATGTATGATGTAATTACCACGCCGATAAATTATTTTCGTCGATAATGACTAGGAGATACTTAGATAACCAAATGGCACAAAATTATTATTTAATATAAATATAATTCTTCGTTCACCCTATCTACTTTTTAGTTATGGCTTACGCAACACGCTTAATTGTCAGGATAAACAAATTTCACGATAGACTCGGTTGAAGAAGATTATGAGAGTTATTTTTTATTCTTTAAGATGTTTAATCATATCACGTAACAGTTTTATTCACAATATTGCACCTTTTCTTTGCAACCATTTCAAAACGGTCTTCGCGATTGCTTAATTCGATTCAATGCGTTAATTCGCTGATTTAATTGCAATTGTATGCAATAGATACAATGATATTTGGACTTTTAAAAATAATATTAAACATCATCTGAATCACAAATTTGCTCGTGGAAACTTTAATTTAAATTTTATGCCTTCCATACCATCCTTGATGTTAATTTAACAGTATTTTTCGTTTAGTTCTCCAGATGAAATAAAAGTACCAACTTTGCCAGAGACCAACTGGGGATTGAGGAAGGATGGAAAAGAGTCTACTGAGATAAGGCCTTTCAAAATTGATGTTCCAGAATCAGTGAGTAATAAAATAAATAATGAATAAAACTGATATCTTTTAGGCCAAATTTTTAAGCTTGTTTAACTTTCTGCAAAGGTCATAGTGGACTTGAAGTATCGTCTTTCACACAGAAGAACTTATACAAATCCATTGGAAGATGTCGCATGGACGTATGGTATTTCCACCAAGTACCTCAATACAATACTTGATTACTGGAAAGATAAATACAATTGGACTGAGAGACAAGCTTTGTTGAACAAATATC